TTTTCTATCAGAATCCCCACAATGAGAGGGGGAGTCCTCTATTTATAGTCGAGGGATTCAAGGTAATGATGACAAGTTTGCAAATAGGCAGGTACCATACAATTCCTACCTTGCTTCCCATTAACTGATTACATAGGAGATATCCTTAAATTGCGTGGGGCTTGGACAAGTGTGTGGCCCTTATTCACTCATGACAAAATCTGAATCTACTAAGTTGATGACAACTATATTCTTTCTGTCTTCGGGCGACGTCACATCTCCTGAATGACACAAAGCCTTCCTGAACTCTTATTGGCGCTTGTTGATGCAAGCTCATGTCAGCTCTGATTTTTTAGGCATAACAGCCTTGAACAACTCTTATGCACAATATAAACAAGCAACCCATTCCGCATAAGTTTTAATCATTTGGTAACCCCTTTAAAACTTTAAGATGTGCAATACAATCCTTTCTTTAGGAGATCTTATTACTTTTTTTATCTTTTGGTTGGTTTCTAACTAGTGTTGTGCTTGTTAAAACGTTTTCCTTCATCCCGATGAGCATTCAAAAGCTGATAAGATTTTTATCCTAATTAATTGAGCATTTGTGGTGTTCTTCTCATGATTACGATATCTCTTCCTTTTTTGGCATCACTGTTCCATCAATCGTGGCTTAAGGGAATGATCACGACGACGGTGGTTATGATTTTGCTTAGGTCTTCAGTATCCTCTCCCTGATGTCTATTGCATCACTTTTCAGTTTTGTGGTTGATCTTAATAGCATTAATGGTCTTATGTTTAGCGGGTCAACCATCAATATCTCGCGCATTGGAATCTCATAGAAAATTAAAGAAACTTGGCGTATTGGAATTGCTTGGAAAATGAAAGAAACTTGGCTTTCACTGATTGTTGTGTTTTCTGTAATTGATTCATGAAGATGAAATTATGAACCAGTAAGATAATGAATGGCAATTCAACTTCAATGACATTGATTCGTACTACAATTTTCATTATCTTCTTATTTTGTGAACGGATTAATAATTCTAATCGAGATGGAAGTTTTGGTTGATTAAGTTGATTAGATATGGGCATAAAAAAATTAAAAACAATAAGGCATGCATGCTTGCATATAAAAATATTTAATCTCATCCCAAATGCCTTTTATTTGTACCCTAAAAGTAAAATTAATTACCAATGTCTAGAAAGGATTGAGCTAATTAAAGCAACAACCATTGCTTACTTGCTTCTGTTGACTGATGATATTTGTATACATTCTACTTAATTGCATGTATATATAGATCTTCCTCATGAGCTAGCCTCACAGTTCCTCAGTACCACGGACGACCATCATCATCATGAAAATGGTTTTTTTTTTTTTTTCTTAAGAAGATGTAAATTAATCCAAATGGTGGACAAACCACATACTATTACTAACCAAAAGAAAATTAAAAATTAAGTTGTTAGCATTGTTTATTTCTCGAGACTTGATAAAATATTGGAGGGTTGGTGAGAATATTAGTATTGATTCGACTTGATAAGGAAGAACTAGGGTCCAAGGATATGAATTAATCTAATCTGACTATTGTAATCAGTAGACCCTTTACTTTTCAGTTGCAAAACCTCTGTTCAACTTCATCATCACTCTATGGTCAAATCTAAATTCCAAATGCTATTCAAATTAACTTTAACTTATACAAAGATGAGGCAAGTATCAGCTTATAGTGTTGTACACTAAATGACGAGGAAACATTAGTTATGATAAATGTTTCCACTGGTTTATTAAATATAATATTAGAAAACCCAATGGATCGATCCCACTTCAAAGTATCCACTTAACGTGGAGTACTCTAAATCCCCAAAAAAAAAAAAAAAATAAATAAATAAAAAATCTATATCAATTGGAAATTGGAATGACCCCTCGATGCACTAAAAGATGCTTTATTACAACATCATGTGTTTGTAATTGTTGAAGTGTCATTCAAATTCTTACGTGGTTGGACAAGAAATAGCCATTGGGGTTTGGCATTGGGACTTCAATAGCCTTAACGCATCAGTCCACGCTCCCCACGTGGTTAACTTGCGTCAAATTCATGTCTGCCCCGTTCCCTCCTCTTATATAACTCACTCACCCTCTCTAACTAATTACAATCCACCCAGCACTCTTAATTCCATCTTTTTTTTTCAAACAAACACACCACTCCTTCCTCCCAAAACAATGTCTCCAATTTCCAAGTCCATTGTTCCCTCATGGTACTCATGGTGCAAGAAGCACGGAGAAGGAGATTATGATGACGATGGATATGATTATGCCCCTGCCGCATGCATAGAAGGTGATGGTGATGGTGATGATGATGATGGGGATTACGACTATGCTCCTGCAGCATCAATGGAGGGAAACGGAGATGATGACGAAGATGGAGGCTACGATTATGCACCCGCTGCATGAATACATATATCAATCACACTTAACTTATAACTCGTACCTCTTTATCACTTCCTGATACATTCATGACTTCAACCAGATAGCAACTATCAGCTTTCCTATATAGCTACTACAGTTTTGCAGGTTATGTTTTAGTTGGGCTAAAACACTTCATAATGCTGATACTTATGAAGATAGTGAGATGTACTTAATATTTATGTCATCTATGTTCATCATCATGCGACAGTGACATCACGTTAATCACGACTATGGTAGTTATTTGGTTATTATATGTTATGTTAATGAATGTTGCTACCCTAATAAGTCACTGCCTTGTCTTGTGACTCTTGTCTGTTGTGAAGGAAATAAATAATAATTCGTACTATAAAATTATGTGTTTTCTTTTTTTTTGGTTGATGACATTCCTAAACCGGTCGGTGTCGAATGAGAATGTTTTCTCAATTAAATATTAATCAGGTTGAAAGCGATTTAATGGGTGCCAGTGTGCCATAGATATAATCAAATTCAATCACCTGGCGCTTTTAACAAACCAATAGTTAAAGACTTAAAACTTATAATTAGTAGAGTTTTTGTGATGGGTGAATTTTCTACGGATAATACTACGTTGACTAACCCTTCTTATTAATTTGCTACTATGAATGTACCATAAATCCATTTTCCTTGCTCTTGAGCTCCCAGCTAAGCACAACTTGTGAGGAGAGCAACTAATATGAATTTATCTGGTTTAAACTCCCCGTCTTGCATTTCTTGAAATAATGACAATACCTCATCAAACTGGTTAAATTATACATACCCATTAATAATAGTTGTCCAAAATATTTAAGTATATATCACTGACTGGACTTCTATCAAACAACTCTGGAGCTTCTTCCAGTTGACCACAATTTATACACCCACACACCATAATCGTCCAATAAATCACATTCTTGCTAACTTGCTGGCCATCTCATGAAAATATATTTTTCCTGCCATATTCAAACAACCACACTTGACACCTGCAATACAATTATTTCCTATCATAGTAGTGAATTCAAGCTCCTCATATATCTAAGGATGAATTTCCTTGCGAACTTCCAAATTTTATAATGTTGTACAAGCCGACAGATTACTTACAGTCGTAGCCTCATAAGGCCTCAAATCACTCCCTTGTTGCATCAGGAGAAAGACATTCAAAGCACCCCTCAAATCCCATACACTTATTACGATTCGATTGATACTTTCCAAGAAACCACTTTTTTTTTTTTTTCTGAGGCATTTCATCAAACAGCTTCTTCCTATTATAAAATTTATATCCAAGACATTGTACACGTCCATGAGTGAGTTGGAAATATTATCAAATTCAACACTAGGGACAAACTGATGGACTGGTAAAGAGAGCATGTGAAATTTGGTGACATCTCCTCCCCACAAAAGGGGAGTGTGTGCAAAAGAATGTGCAAGTGTACATGCCAAGCCCTAGCCCCAGCCCCAGCCCAAACCCAAAGTCCAAAATCAACATTGAAACAAGTAGCTTGACATATGGACTTTGGGAATGGGACTGATACTTTAATTAATGATTGGGAATCTTCACCATTCTTTCTTTGACCCATACTTTCCGATAAACGAAACGTGCATATTGCTACCTTACGTCTCCTATTAATAAGTCAAAACTCTCATTTAATAATACTAAAATAAAGAATCATCTTAATCTATTCATTCAAATCAAAAATAAATAAATTACATGTAGTGTTGACAAACTCATCAACTCTTTATAACGGATAAAAAATTTAGGTCAGAAGATACCAATTCTAATTTTATTTTTATTATGATCTTAATTTAATATCATTAAATTAAATATTTATTCGTTCTTACAAAATTTATCTTATAATTAATTTCGAAAATAATTCGTAGTTTTAATTTTCCACCGGATTATCAAGCCATTAACAAATAAATAAATGGCATCATAGGCTCAGTCAGTCACCATATAATGAAAGAGTAAACGATTTTTCCCTACCCAAGGTTTGCCTCAATGACCTTTCCCCCTCACAAAAGTTTCAAAATATCACTTTTCTATCTTAAGTTTATATTTCATTAATACTTAAAATATATTGTAGTCAACGTTTGATAAGTTATTAAGAAATGGAGTAAGAGAGGTTTTGTAGAATGGAGGCCGATGGATAGAATTGTGATGATTGATTGAATATTCGTCATCGAAATCAATTGGAAATTAATTAAAAACATAAAACTCTAACTTTATAATGATCGATAATTGATAAAAAATCAAATACCAAAATAAAAGAAGTTTTATAGAAAAGAAACCGAAGATTTAAATAGTAGTGATGAAGAGAATTTTTATCCTAGATACCGATTTTAAATAGTAACAAAATATTATGTAAACCTTGGGTGCGAAAAAGTCGTCAGTAGTGATGAAGAGAATTTTCATCCTAGATACCGATTTTAAATAGTAACAAAATATTATGTAAACCTTGGGTGCGAAAAAGTCGTCTACTGATAATGAAATTCCTATACCTCCCCTCAGCGTTTTCTTTGAAATTTCCAAGACAAAATCAGATCTAAAAATATCTTATCATATTAATACGACGTCGTTTCGTCCGTTCACTAGACCAACTGCTTTGCTCCGTCTTCACGACATTTTGATCCATTTGTTGTCTCGGTCTATGAAACTGCAAATCAACGTTAGAAAACGAAACACAAAACCCGCGTGAGAGCTCATTCTCTCCCTTTCGATCCACTAAAGGGTTCTTCGGTCTCACTCTCCACAGCAAGGTTCTGTCTTCCATTTCCCTCATTAATCTCCTTTATTTTTTCTGTTCTTTATTTTGCCCCATACATTGTAGATCGAAGCATTATCCTATAATTAACAGCTGAATTTTGAACCAAATGACTAGTTGAAGATTTTCTTATATTGGTATAGTGTATTTGTCAAATTCATCTAAAAGAGAAAACATGTCTGCGATTCGATTTGATGCAAGTAAGCAATACTACACGACGAGCAGTCTTGTAGTTGGTTACGCTCTCTGTTCTAGCTTGCTTGCTGTGATAAACAAGTACGCCATTACCAAATTTAACTACCCGGGTCTTTTGACCGCCTTGCAGTACTTGACCTCTGCCCTGGGCGTTTGGGTTTTGGGCAAATTTGGCTTTTTACATCACGATCCCTTCACTTTTGATATTGCCAAGAAGTTTTTACCGGCTGCAAGTGTCTTTTATCTTGCCATTTTTACAAACACTAATCTTTTGCGTCATGCCAATGTGGATACGTTTATAGTGTTTAGATCATTGACACCACTTTTGGTTGCTATTGCTGATACCGCTTTTAGAAGGCAACCTTGCCCATCAAAGCTTACGTTTTGTTCACTGTTGGTTATTTTGAGTGGTGCTGTTGGGTATGTGGCCACGGATTCGGCTTTCACTTTGACTGCCTATTCGTGGGCATTTGCTTATTTGGTGACAATTACTACAGAGATGGTCTATATTAAACATATGGTCACCAATCTTGGATTGAATACTTGGGGTTTTGTGTTGTACAACAATTTACTCTCGTTGATGATATCGCCAGTGTTTTGGTTTTTAACTGGGGAGCATGTTGATGTGTTTGCTGCTCTGAGTGCACGTGCTGGGGGTTGGTTTGATAATGAAGTATTTTTCGCAGTTGCTCTGTCATGTGTGTTCGGTTTGCTTATTAGTTTTTTTGGATTTGCGGCAAGGAAGGCAATATCTGCAACAGCATTTACGGTGACTGGTGTGGTTAATAAATTCCTTACAGTTGTGATCAATGTGCTGATTTGGGATAAACATGCCAGTCCTTTTGGTTTGGTTTGCCTTCTCTTAACAATTGCTGGAGGTGTTCTTTACCAGCAGTCAGTTACTGGACCTGTCAGTGCTCCATCACAACGTGATCAAACTGTATCAAAGCCGATCAACGATGAAAATATTAATGATGATTTTGTTGAAAATGATCAAGGGAAGAGCATACCTGGTAAACATACTTCTGTATGAATACTCCTGGTCCCTTTTAGTTAATTCTTTAGCCATTGGGATGTAAGAAATTTTATCTCTAGTATTCAATTTTATAATCTTAAGTACCATTCCTGTATTGCATCTTCACAAATGTTATCTTTCTAGAATTTGAATCACGTGTGCACTTGCTATATATTTTTGACAATTGATATTGTCATAATGTTTTGATTATTTCTTGGTGATATATGATGTGCCTGCACATTGCTTTGATGAAATGTTAGTTGTGTGTTTGTTTTGTATGGTGGGCAGTGACTTCTCTGAATTCAAGTTTGATGTACTGTCTTTTACTAATGAAGAACCCAATCATTGTGCAATTTGGCTGATGATATGCTGTCCCTTGCCTATTTGAGGAACTTGTGTTACTCTGCAATTTTGAGCAGTTACACCATCTTAATCTTACTGGTGATGACAGAATTAATATAAATTCCTTCCCCTTTTGTCTATTTGCTATAGTTGATCAGTATTCAGTATCATATTGTAGACAATTAGCAAGTATGAATGGCATCGGACCTAGCTGCTTCTCTTTCATTTGCTTAGGGGGATGGTGATGACTGCTATACTTGTGATATTTTAAACTTTCCCCAAACTGTATTTCCACGAAAGGATGCTTAAGTTTGACAGCAATGCCCCATTGGAGGACACAAAATTGATTGTTGTGGAAGTATTTAGATCTTGTTCCCGCTTCACAACCTTGTGACTAGTGTCGCTGAAATTTCACATGCACACACAGACACAACCACATGCAGTTGCCTTACAACTTAACTCATTTTCTTATCTGAAATATTTTAATTAAACATGTTATGAGTCGAGGAATCCTTCAAACTCTTTTTTTTTTTCTCATAGGTAGCAGATCTTTTTCATTTCAATTCATCTTGAAGCCCAAAAAGAAAAAGAAGTTAGGATTAGAAGGAATGGAGTGCTGTTAAAGAAACTAAATTATGAATGAAAGTACTAATGCATGAATATTTTGAAAACCTCCCAATATAGGATTATACTCACTCATCACCAGAAATCCCTGCATGAACAGGATCCATTTTTAAACTGGTGAAACCTGTTCCTATTCCTCACGATTATTTCCCTATTGTAAACTTTGGATACGAGTTTGATTGCGGCGTGGCAATCACTGCACACACGAAGATTTTTTACAATTCGAATTGGAATTCCAGGACTTGTACTTATTAGTCCAAACGCAAGTGCCAGCTTCTCACTGTGGAGGTTAAGTGCAGTCTCCTTCTCCTCTTCATCCATATCAAACAATACTTCTGATTTGTTGGAAACATAACCAGCTTTCTTTGTTCGGCTTAACATGTCATCCAGCATTTCGTAAATCACTGGGGATTGTGGGTGTGATGAGTCACCCTTAATAAATTCGTGCACAACACCGTCAACCTCAATCAAACTGCAACCTGGTGACTTCTTTATCTTTCTTTCCGCCATGAGTTCCCTGATTCTTTTAGCCTCCTCCCATTTTCTTGACAAGCTATATATGTTTGATAGAATAATATATGACCCACCATTGTCTGGGTAAAGCTCCAAAAGCTGTTGAGCTACTCTTTCAGCAACCTCAAGGTTGCAATGTATTCTGCAGGCACCAAGAAGTCCTCCCAGAACAAAATGATCTGGTGTCATTGGCATCTTCTTTATCAACTCCTCAGCTTCTGCTATCCGACCAGCTCGGCCTAACATGTCAACGAAACAACCATAGTGTTCAATGCTAGGCTGAATCCCATATGTCTTAGTCATCGAGTTAAAGTAAGAAATCCCTTCCTCCACTAATCCTGCATGACTACAGGCAACCAAAGCCCCAACCAAGGTAATTGCATCTGGTTTCAATCCACTAATCTGCATTTCATGGAAATACTTTAAAGCTTCATCTCCTTGTCCACACATTGCAAGTCCAACAACCAAAGCTGTCCAAGTCATAACATCTTTCTCTGCAAGTTCTTCAAATACAATTTCTGCGTTCTCTATGCTCCCACATTTTGCATACATGTCCACAAGTGCCGTTCCTAAGGCAACATCCACTTCAATAACCTTCTTCATTATATAAGCATGCAACCACTTGCCAGTCTCAAGAGCAACCAAATGGGTACAGGCAAGCAATAAGCTCACCATTGTCACTTTGTCTCCTACAAGACCCTTTAATTGCATTTAACGGAAGAGGAGTAAGGCTTCTTCATACTCACTATCATCAACATATCCTTTTATCAATACATTCCAACAGTACAAGTTGTTTTGAGTGTGAGGCATCCTGTCAAATAAATCTCTAGCAAGTGTGACGCAACCACACTTTGAATAAGCATTCATTAGAGCTGTGTTGAGGACCACGTGGAAACCAAAACCATTCTCATCAACATACTCATGTACACGTTTTGTAGTTCCTAAATCCCCTGCTCTTGCGCACGAAGCCAAAACATTAACCAAAGTAATCTCATTAGGCTTCACATTTTCACTTCCCATTCTCTCGAAAATCTTGATAGCTTCACCTGGTTGATCCCATTGCACATAAGCACCAATGATCGTGGCCCATGAAACCACACTTTTATCATCCATTTTGTAGAACAGCCTTTCGGTTGAAACCAAACACCCACAACTCGAATACAAAGTCATCAAAGTATTCTGTACGTAAGAATCGGAAGCAAAACCAAACTTTGTAGAATGACAATGAAGCTGTCTTCCCTCAGACAAATCCACGCATGATTTAAACAACGAAGGAAACGTGAATCTATCCGGAACCAGACCTTGAACAATCATTTCGCGGTAAAAAACAATTGCCTGATAATGCAAATTATTGTTTGTGTACCCTCGAATAAGGGAATTACAAGTGTAGGTGGTGGGATTGGAGATTTGGGAGAAGACTTGACGGGCATAATGGAGGCTTCCAGAGTCTTGGAGTTGCAGAGCAGAAAAGGCTACAATGTTGCTGGCTGAGTAAGGGTCGAAGAAAAGGCCCGTCCTCAGCATCTGAGCATGAATTTGTTGGAGCTCCGACAGTGTGGAACATTTTTCCAGAGAAACAAGACAAGGGTATGTTTGAACTTGGATGCTTATGCTGTAATTATTGGGGATATCATGAGAGGATAAGGGTGGCCTATGGTGCTGGAGAGATATAGGAGTGGCCATGGTGTTTATGTTCCCATAATCTACATAGAAAGTGTAGATAAGTTTTCGAAGCTCCATGTTCCATGTTGTTATTTGGTGGAAAAGAATATCGATATGAGATATTTTCATTAATATATAATTCCAAGATTTTGTGAATCCCCTTTAAAAACTTATAAGCTTATAGAAGAGTACTGTTGAAAAATACTGTGGTTAATTTGGGCCTTCTGAATAAGCCTCCGTACTTGTGGGTATGGGCATCCATTCTTCATTTCTTTATTAATTCATCTTAAAAGAGTGTTGGAAAATACAGCATACCATAATTGAGCTAGCTTCTCAAGTTCTAGATTGTTTAATATTTTTGCAGCATCGTGTTACCCCGGATTGGAACCTAAAAGAAGCATCCATGATCATAGAGTGGCAACCAACTGCTTCAAGAGCAAGATTCAATAATTTAGGTTCATCTTTTTCTGTACTCCATATAGGTTGATCAACCTTTTCTTTGGAACTCACCAATGAAAACGAGTGATGATCCAAGTAAAAAAGAAAAACTATAGAAAAGCAAGCGAGGACAGGCCACACTGGCTGGCCTTGATCCCATTAAATTCGATCCAGTAAAAGCTAATAGTATAAAAAGGTAGTGGTCTGAATCAAGCCTCACTCTCATCACTCACCCAGAATGACTCATCCCTCTCAAATTACTTAACTACCTAGTGCTCGCATGCCTCAAACTACACTAACTGGTATGTTAATTAACGCCCAAACCAATTACTGACTTCAACTTAATTTGTTAATACACTTCTCGACAAATCAAGTACGTCAACCATATTCAAAAAAATATTCAAGTTTGTCCATCTTCCTCACCGTCCACTTCTCCGACCATGACAGCATGCTTCGTTGGACTGTTTGTCTCTTAATCATATTGTTTCATTCATAATTATCTTACTTTAATTAATTATAATACAAACAAATTCATAAAATGCTTCGGCAGTATCTTGGTAAACCAGAGCTGGCTATAAAACAGGTAGCTTAAGATCGGGTAATGGCAAAATTAAACCTTGATTTAGTTTTGAGTCCCATATGGACAATCATCCAAATCTAACAACAAATGCAATTGGCTTTTGCCTTCTTCCTTCCGAGCTCATACAAAATATACTTCTATATCTGGCTTTACCGGAAATCATCACCATGAAATTAGTCAATAAGTCCATTGCCTATGTTATTTCTGATCAAAACTTTATTCGTCAATGCAATTTACGATCAAAGTCGTCTACGTGGCTTTTTCTCTACAAGAAGCGTTGGAACCGTCACGCCATACTTGAAGGCTTTTCTGATCAATCCACTCGCTGGTTCAAGATTTCCATTGCTGATTTGTTGAAACCAGTCGTTTCTCCAGGTCAAAATCTCTACTTTTTGACTGCCAGTGGAAATATTTTTCTTTTTGTTTGTAACACTCACCAGGAAGTTGTTGCAGTTAATCTCGTTAGCAAGACAGTTAAAAGAATCCCTGACAGTCCACTAGGTCCACGTGGCACCTCTTCGTGGCGAAGATCCGGAATGAAATTAGTGGCCCGGTCGGATCATTTCCGGTTTTTCTTTGCTGAGTTGGTCGATAACCGTCCGGTCTTGTTCGAGTACAACTCCGAAACTAACACGTGGGATTCCACGGAAGCAAAGGAAATTGTTGACAATTCGTATATGCCACGTGTTGATGAAAGAGAGGATGGTTATATTTTCCTCAATTCGATAAATGGGCCTAATGAAAGTGTTGTGGTAGCTATTGGATCAGAAAGTAGGAATGCCCCGTTAATTGCACGACCGAGATCTAACGGAGGAGGAAGCATAAACGAAAGGTTACACGTGTACGGAGATGGTCATATGATGATCATAAGATCAAAGGGTGTAGAGAATGAGAATGGAACAGTGAGGATGTTAAAGGGTATAGAAATATGGGGGTTGAATTCAAGGAAAAACAGTAGGGCTTGGGAATACATATCTAAAGTTCCAAGTGAATTAATAAGGAAGATTAATAAGCCATATGGGGTAATGATGGGGTGCTTAGAGAAAGGAGATGGGATAATTAAGATGGTAATATTGTCTAATTATCAGTGTTTATGGGAAATTATTTGGCTATCTTATAATATAACTAAGCACAATTGGAGTTGGTACCCAGTTCCTGATTGCAAAATGAAGGGTTTGAACATGGCAGGAATCAGTCTATCTTGTGGTCTAACCCTGTCTTGATAAAATTTGATTAAGGGTAATATTACACTGATAAACCTTTCTTATTAACTTTTTCTCACAAACACAACGTGATAACTCGCAATTAGTCAGCTTATAATAAATCCTGCCTAACCAAATACGAACCGACCAATTACAAATTGTCACGTTGTGTTTGTGAGAGAGTTAATAAGAAGAGTTTATCAGTCTATCTTTATTGTTTAATTGATTATTAAATTTGTTTTTCAGCTTATGCGCATCTCAATTAATCCTCCTGGTCCTGAAACTATCGGTCGGGTAAAAGTTTCAGTGACCACCCCTATTAACAACCTCTTTTATCTACAAGGAGATTCGAACTTGAAAGATCATGTTAGATCCTCTTCTTACCTTTTTACCAACAAAAATTGTATCAGATATAAGTGTATGGTACCGTATGGAAAGCTATTCTCTAACTTTTTATCTTACATATTATTATAAACTGAACTTGTTAAATAATAATATATATCATAAAGTAATTAAATAATCGATTTTGATAATGGGAATAAGAATTAATTTGCGGTGGAAGAAATTAGGTAATTGGAGGTTGTAAAATGATAGTGAAACGCAGAAACCAGAGAAGCAAAAGCAAAAAACGTGATGGTGTCAGCCAAAACAACGGAGTGGACATACAAAAATGGAGGTCTCTGTCCCAAACACAACATGTTCTATTTGGTCCCAATTCCCACTCCATCAATCATCCCCCACGTGTCGACATCTTGTTTCTCCTCTCCTCCCTCAGATTGTTACACTTTTAAACTAGTGCTTTTTGGGGTTTGCAAAACGGTCCCAAATTCCATGTTATCTACTGGACCACATTAACATTGCATCTATGTTTGGTCTTTTTTGGTTTTAAAATGCTCTCCAATTCCAATCGTACTTTGATGTGGAACACCATAAGACATTTTTGTTAAGTTGTTTAATTGATTTTAAATTGACCAACTTTTCATGCAATCTTAATTTATTTAATAACTCCAGTAATCACTGTGTTATATATCCCAATATTTTCCCTTTAAAAGCACAAATCATGAGACCATATATATAATAACAAGAAGACATTTGGGAAAACTGTGATGGCCTATTTTGGAACAAGCGTCTCTTGGTTGTCAATATATATATAAATATATATGTACCACAATCAAGGAGAGAAGGAATCCTATGCATTCATTCAATATATACTTTCTTCTAAGGTTGAATCTTTTAACCCCCAATCTATCGTGAAAAGAACAATTTTCCCCCTTAATTTCAGAAACACCCATACTAACCCATCATTTTTCCCCCTTTGTTTCCGAAACTAACAGGGAATATTTGTCCTCTCGCAATAGATTGGGGTGACTTCTTTCTAGTGAGAGACTTTATCACCAAAGAAAGTAAACTTTAAAACTCAAAGGTCAAACAAAGATTTTGGTAATTATAATTGTAGATTTTGTTTGTGACAAAATCGCTTTAATTTTCAAACTTAACTCTAAAGTATAACATTAATTAAGGGCTTGTTTGATTTGTGATTCAAAAATAATGTTTAAAAACTAATATACAATTCAAATTTTTTAGTTGTATTTAAATTCTATATCAAACATACCCTAATTTATTAAAAGTTTTTAATTTAATAAATGATTTTGGAGGCCGCAACGATAGACTTTGAATAAAGTGGTTTATAAAAAGGGTTTATAACAAAAAAAAATTCTCCTAAGCTATAATTAAACAACAAAATTCTGGAGTCAAGAAAAACCCTTTAGAAAAATGAGTCAACCATCATACTTGATCAACTTAAAACGTTGAGTAGTGTGTTGTTAATGGATGAGTAATATTATATATGCATCATTTTTATACAACATTTTTTATATAATATTATGTGGTAAAATATAATTGATTAATTTAAATTTTTATCTAATTATATTTTGTTATATAATATTATATAAAAAATATTGTATAATAACGATAGATGTGTAATATTATTTTTAACGGAGTTCACAAGCACCACTATTTGATTCAGTGGGCAATTAAACTTGAAACAGATGCCCACGGCCACGAGGCTTATAATTTATGCGTGCGGCGTATGCCTGCCTGTGTTTCTTATTTCTTTATATCAGACCTCAGTCATCAGCTTTTTATTTCTATTCATAATTGCCAAGTTGAAAATATCGAAATTAAATATAATAAATCTTTCCTTATCTAATTACATATCTACAGATGATGTTGACAGAACATTATTTTATTAAAAACTCTTGATTAATTTTAATTTGACAGATGTCTACTGGTGAATATTCGCCGTTTACAGAGTCTGTACCTTTAACGCGAGTACTAGACTACTAGTGTATAGACTGAGCAAAGCAAAATTACATGTTGTCCCTCAAGGTATTGAAAAAGAACATTTGTCCCATTATTTCTAAAACACACAATGTTACACCCATTTTTCCTCCTCTCAATTTAAATTCTAATGTATACACTTTTGAGTTTTGACCTCTAAAATAACAATTTTACCTTTACAAACTTTTAACAAAAGAATAATTGATTATAAAAAATCTCATTTTGATCCCAAAATTAAAACATATATAAACAAATCCGAAAACCAAAATAATAAAAATTAACTATTGAACAAAAATTAATAAACATTATCATTAATCCCAAAAAGTTTTCAATCCCCAATTAAATTCTAATAATAATAATAATTAAAAAAAAATCTCCAGCACAACAAAATTCATTCACGGCCTTCAAATATTTGAATTCTTCCCAGTATTTAGATCACCAATTAAATAAAATCGAACTTATCAATATAACAAATTCTTCCATACGAAACTATCACTAGTTTATCGAGATTCTTATCCAATGGACAAATTCAAACTCTGAGGGTTATAAAAAAAATAAAAAAAATTCTTCCATACAACAAATTTCATCTACCATCCCCAAATATTTCAAATCTTTTCCACATCACACCACACGAAATATTGACTCATGACAGAGGTGGGGCTCTCTTTGATTTAGGTTTGGGACATGGCTAAGCTCTTGTTGGTGCAGTGATTGTACTCCATTAAATCTGGTTTCGCAAATATGAGTAGAGTTTCATTTTTGTATTCGCTTACATCTTCTTGGTAGAAATAGATGTACGGTATTTGTGTGTCTCCAATATTACCCTTTTAAAAAGGTAATATTGATGCGTGATTTTGACTATAACAATTTTGTATGTGTAAAGTATTAAGAAAGTCTTAAAAATTATACGTGAATGATTATGAGAGTTAATTATGGTGTAAAGTTATACATGTTTGTAAGAAACATAAATAATAGATGGACAAGCGAGATTTTTATAGTGGTTCGGATGTTTAAAGCGAATTCTACATCCACTGTTATTTTATTATTTTCTGACTATTTTTCTGATATTGCTTACAAAGTATACAAAAATAGAGAAATATTTTATTTACAGAGAAAAAATAATGGTTGAAGCTTTCGTTTGTGCCCACCTCTTATATGCCAGCCCCCTCTTTCGCAAAGAGACGTGAATGAGTATTTTTACAAGTTGCTTTGACATGTGAAGATCACTTCTTAATCCTTATCTTATTAAGAGATATGATTGATATAAAATATATATTTGAGCCAGTTTGAGTTTTGACAGCTAATATTATTTTGTCTTTTAGTGATTGTTAAACTCTAATTGGTGGTATTGACATCAGTGTGTATTTTTGACACAACAGCCAATATCGGCATTCTTTGTTACGTTTATTTTTTTATTTAATGTTGAGATAGGCTAAATGACAGTATTACCCTTTTAGTGTTTTTGTTAAATTTAATGTTTGAATTTGAAAAATGGTGGTGACTTGTATGTTTTCGATATGAAAGAAAGGAAACTTGTTCTATGATAGGTGAGGGGTCAAAGTGTAATTGGAGCTACCTAACAATGATGTCAGCTATGGCCAGAGATCACTGACACTAAACCCTTCATTAATAACGAAAACTACATGTAGATTAGTTAATTAATCAATATAAACAAAGTTCGTTTTCACATTAAATCATATTAGTCCTTTCAATCTGTTCAAAAGTCATTTTCAGATTTTACGTAGATGTATAATATAACAAGAATAATAATTTAATTGAGGCCATTTTTGATTCACTGATTCTGCTTATCACTTGCAATGTTGTAATGGAGATGTCCGTTTTCATTCCCCGGTTCAGTTTAATAGATACTAATGCTTGCTTTGACGTGGACATCCACGTATTGATGCAGATATGTATGGATATTTTCACAATGGAATATTTATTTAGTAAAAAATAAGTTTTATAGTATAACCGCTGTTATTAAGTCAAGGCATGTGGTACATTGACTTATATTGACTTAAAACAGTTACTATGTAAGTAAGTTTGAAAATGAAAAAGTGAAGTGGTAAGAAAGGAAATTGAAGAAAATAGAGGGGCAAAAATTTATAGTTGAATGCAGGTTGATGGTACATATCATCTACTCTCTAGTCTCTACACATCTGCTTCTGCTTTCCTGTTAACTGTATTCTCTCTTTTTCAAAAACTCATCTTCTCCTCTCTTTCACTTATCACTTTCCACTCCCACTCTCTCAGGCAGGCGGCGCCATCAAATGATTAATATAACCGATACATTAAACCCTTTTCATATCCAAATCTGATCAACATCTTCCCAATCTATCACCAATATTTTATTTTCTAAATAATAAATGGTTACTTACGACCCTGCTGCTTCCAGTGGAAGCAGCAATGGAACCTCTTCCTCTTCAGCTAACAAACCATCCGCCGACATCGATGGGTTACTCGCTGGAGCCGGTTACAAGGTACGATCTTCCGAGCTCCGTCAGGTGGCTCAGCGTCTTGAACGACTTGAAAACGTTATGGTTAACTCTCCCGCTGAGATTTCTCTACTCGCCTCCGATACCGTCCATTACAATCCCTCTGATCTTGCCTCCTGGGTTGACTCTCTTTTGTCCGAATTTAACCAGCCTGTCCCTGTACCAACCAATCTACCCGACTTTCCCGATCTAATGGCTGGTCCCGGTCCAGGCCCCCCACCAAATCAGACGGTAGTGAATAATTACTTGGCCGACAATATAATTCCATCTCAACTACCTGAGCAGAATATACCTGCGCAACAGCCGCAGTTGATGGTGGTTACGGCCATGGAAGAAGATTCCGGAATAAGACTGGTCCACATGTTATTGACTTGCGCCGAATCAGTACAACGTGGAGAGCTGGCATTAGCTGGTTCGCTCATCGAAGATATGAAAAGCTTGCTCACTCATGTTAATACCGGTTGCGGTATCGGAAAAGTGGCTGGGTACTTCATCGACGCATTGAGCCGCCGGATTGTCGGAGTCGGTGGCGCCGTCTGCGGCTCCGCCTACGAAAATGAGTTTTTATATCATCACTTCTACGAGGCCTGTCCTTACTTAAAATTCGCTCACTTCACAGCTAATCAGGCGATTTTAGAAGCTTTCGACGGTCACGACTGTGTCCACGTGGTTGATTTTAATTTGATGCATGGTTTGCAATGGCCAGCGTTGATTCAGGCATTGGCTTTGCGTCCAGGTGGGCCTCCCTTGTTGCGGTTAACGGGCATTGGCCCACCGTCGCCGGATGGGCGTGACTCTCTCCGCGAAATCGGGTTGCGGCTGGCGGAGTTGGCCCGGTCCGTGAATATCAGGTTCGCTTTTCGTGGCGTAGCGGCTTCGCGCCTGGAGGATGTAAAGCCGTGGATGCTCCAGGTTAGCCCAAAGGAAGCCTTGGCGGTCAATTCAATCATGCAGCTGCATAAACTACTAGGGTCGGACCCTAGCCGAAATTCACCGATAGAAATGGTACTGGGTTGGATCCGAAACTTGAACCCGAAGATCATGACAGTAGTTGAGCAAGAAGCGAATCATAACCAATCCGAATTCTTGGACCGGTTTAGTAAGGCTTTGTATTACTACTCAACGATGTTCGACTCACTTGAGGCTTGTTCACTTCAGCCGGAGAAGGCTGTAGCCGAAATTTATATACAGAGAGAGATATGTAACGTTGTGTGTTGCGAGGGAGCGGCTAGGGTGGAGAGGCACGAGCCGCTGGCAAAGTGGAGGACGCGGCTTCAAGGAGCCGGTTTTAGGCCATTGCATTTGGGTTCTAACGCGTTTAGGCAAGCCAGTATGCTTCTCACACTTTTCTCGGCGGAGGGATATTGTGTTGAGGAAAACGAAGGGTGTTTGACACTGGGTTGGCACAGCCGCCCTCTCATCGCCGCTTCGGCATGGCAAGCCTTGCCCGATCCCATCATCAATCATCACGCCAGTAACAGTAATAACATCATGTAAATTTTAAGTAATGCTCTTGTTAGTTTCAAGGAGATTTTACTTGGAGGAGGAATTATATGTAGTTTGCACTGTTTTTATTACTACCTCTTCATGCAACTATAATACACACAACAAATTCTTACTTTTATTTATATCATCTACTTAGATTAAAATATGGTAAGGTATAGTGTGTAGAGAGGTATCATAGCTTCATATAATACTAATAGATAGATATAGGGGGAGATGAGGACCATGCATATGTATGAGGTGGGGTATGTCTTAGATGATACCCACTGGAGTAGTGTAGTAGTATAATCCCAGAAACACGCCAGTGGTGGTAAAGGGTTTTATTAAAAGATGATAACAGAAACCGGCATCTTCCACTTTCTAGGCCAGGAATTGCTTCCATATAAAGTTTCTGTCAATATAAGCTTTAACTATCACTTTTACCATACACTATTACTACCCTTGTCCCTTTTCATCAAAGTACACAAAATTCTTTTACAAGATTAAACCCACAGCTGATTGCCCAATTTAACACATAATTGTAATTAATTAATTTAATGGTGGGAGCTATCACTATCACACAATGTAACATTGGCATGTGAAAGCAAAGGTAAACAAGTAACGTCTGTAGCATCGTAACAGAATTCTAAAATTGAATTCAAAAAGGGGGTCATGTGAGTTTCTGCAACAAACCAAATAAAGGCAATTAACCAAACGGGACCCTTCACCGTAATAATAATGAGGCCGAGGCAGAGTCACAGACCACAGGCCCGCCAGACCCAGTGTGACTGTGAAGTGAGGGAGAGTTCGAGGTGGACTGAAAGAGTGGACACATGTCCCATTTCCACTGCTATAAATTTCAATCGGTGCCTTTTAAAAAAAAAATTATAATTAAGAACTTGATTGATGATAACAAAAAAAGAAATTAATATTAATCTTTTTACAAATTCTATCTACAGTTGATCCCGATGTGATCGTGATGTGCATAAACTACGTGGACCATAAAAAAAAGTAGTATGTTACTGGGAGTGGGGACCATCTTCTGCAGTAAGTAGCACGTTCACGTGTCAATTCCTTAACATGTGTCGAAAGCGATGCAACCTTTGGCTCTCCCGGTCAATTTGTGATGAAGGCGACATTTCTTAAATTAAAGATCCACCATCAATCTAAGGGTCCCACTCCATAGGTTATGTGGTCCCACTCCACTTTACACTATTATCAGCATTATATATTATCAAATTAAAGTGTTTATTTTTTGCTTCCTTTTAAGATATTTTGAATGAGCTATGAGCCTATGATAGCTTAGGGTGCGTATGTTTCCTATTCTTGGCTCATCCGATTCTTATCCTTTCTAAAATACATATTTGTTTCCATCTCACCCTATTCTTATCATTTCTAAAATACATATTTATTTCCATTATATAAAAATACTATTATACTTTATTTAATTATTTTTAAACCTCCTAAATTTATTAATTTAATTAAACACTCTCCTAAAAAAGTTTAGAAATAGATAAAAACATCCCCACCCACCTATATTTACCAAATTTTAGCCACTATCACTGGAAGATAGCTAAAATCTGGTATAATGACGCACTATCGGTTGGATTTAGCCGGTAATGTGCTGATATAGCCTTTTCTGGCCTTCTGATCAGATCTACCATAGGTTTGGCTGGAAAATGTCAGATCTACAGCCAAAGATCAGCCAGATCTTTAGCTGTACCTAATTGTCAATGACGACCAAGATATGGCTGTCGTTGACGACCAAATGCGACCAGATCTGGCCGTTAATAGCCAGATCTAGCTGTAGATCTGGCTCTTTTTAGTCAGATTCATGGTGGATCTGGTTAGAAAAGGCCATCTCAACGCATGACTGGCCAAATCCAACTGGTAATGCATCGATTCTGCGACTTCAGCCACCCTCCGACGGTGATGGCCGGTATTTAATGGGTGGGTGGAGGTGTTTTTGTAATTTTTAATGTTTTTATTACAGAGATGTTTAATAAATTAACAAACTTAAGAGGTGTTTTTATTAATTTTTAAATCTTATCTCGTTATTACCACCAAACTCTTTACTTTTTCAAAAATACTATTCAAAATACTAAAACAAACCAACAGTAATTTAATGAAATTGGTACCTCCAATCTTCCTAATAAAATTCGATAAAAGATTATTGAGTCTATTATTCAAAAGATTTTGAGTTCAAATCATTCTTTGAGTACTAATAAGAGTAATTATTAGAGCTCTTATTTGATCGAATAGTCTCAAAGTCTTAAAGATTACTTGAGATGCGTGTAAAGTGATCCGAACACCTCATGTCATAAATTTTAAAAAAAAAAAAAAAAAAGTCTTCTTAATAAATAGTTTTTATGGGTTTAATATTAATAAGTTGATGTAGGAAGGTTTCATGAAATTAGGGGCGTTAGAATATCCTCTTTTCACTCTTTCCAGTTTCCTCATTAGCTGTTTTTGGAAAAAAAGTACCTTTATGAAGATTCTAAGAACTTTCTGATAACTTTCACAATTCACACTTATAGAATTCAAAATTGAAAAGGATGGCCCCCTAACTCTGAGAAATTAAGATGCATTATTGGATTAAAAAATCAACCCAGAAGCAATATTTGAAAAGATAATAATAAATATTAATTATTCAGATAAAAAAAGTCACCAACTTTGATTTCATATGACGGTCATCCATCCATCATTTCTACCATTAATATGCTCTGCCCGCCAATTAATTCGTTCGTATGAGACTACATATTCAATCCTTACCTTAATAAAAACATAGAGCTACATAATTAGAGTGAGTGAGTGAGTGAGAGAGAAATATCTCTATCCTATGTACTTATGTTCCACTTTGATTGAGTTGGTTTAACAGTAAAACATCAGATTCTTGACTTTGTCTTTCAAAGGAGGTAAGGGGCGGATGTGTCGGATTTTCCCATTTTCAGGGGCATCAGGTTCCATGTAGAATCGAGCTCGGTAGGCTGCCAGATGAGCATAATACGCAGGAGGCACTGCATATATAGTAACGATTGTATTTAATAATCATATTTTTACTGCATGTTAACTATCATAATCATATGGTTGTAGCCAACAACATGGGGTGTTAGTACTAGTATTTGCTTACATATACCTATGTTTCAAGACAAGATATAACCAGATTTTTACCTATAGAAACTGATCGTGTGCATCGAGCATACCTGCAACCACATAATTAATTACTGTTAAAAAAAAAAAAAAAAAAAAAGCAAATTGTAGGAACAACATGGGAACTGATTTCTTACGTATAACAAAGGTTATTTGTCAGAGATTGTATCTCATCTGCAGTAAAATTGTTCTCGTCCCAGAGAACATTATAATGAGCAGGTCGACTAGTGCCCTGTCAATTAGCATTTCCGCGTAAGTGAGCGTTTGACTAAACATGCTACATACATATATGGGATTGGGATTCTATGCCAAAAATTCAAAGCAAAATTTCCACCACAAACCTGGATTCCTGCATGACTACATAGATAAAAGTCAAATTCGGTAGGATGACAAATCCTAGTGTCCACCACTGTTCCTGCATATCCGTTAAAAACATCAAATTCATAAGAACTAAGTTGTTACTTTTGAATAACTGTTGCATCACAATTTCAGAAGGCAAACTAGCTCAGCCACAAAATTTGACTAGATCTGTGGCACAAAGGATGCAGTTGTTTATTTGGTTTATTTGAACCTAATTTCACTGGCAGCAGGGTTGACTTGTTCCTTGGAGAAGTCATTTATATTCCATTGATCAATCACAAAACACAGAAAACCACCAGAAACGGAAGTTATTACCAGGTAGGATATTTCCGCTCTTGTCAGTGCTATTTCTGTCTTTGTGGTTGCTCGAGAAGAGTCTTGTATGGTGCCGCTTTTGGACAACAATAAATGTAACTGGGGGTTGATAACTAGCTTCCAGTGATGCACAAGCCTGAACATAGCCAGTATATAAATACATGAAAGGCATAATTCATAAAATCCGAATAAGCCGTGTTGACTAACCTTACGAATCGCATCAAGTTCATAAAGCAGAACCTGGTAGAACTGGCCTTCGCTAACACCATCTCTAAAAAAAATTATAGAATACAACACAAATTATTACAATTGAAACCCTTGACCCTTAGCGATTAATCAACTTTGGGTACTGACTGTACCGGTAAAATATTATTCTTAGTGGTTTTTGTCCAGTGGCCTTCTTAAACGACAGTAAGAGCTCCCTGCAGTAGCATGAATTATTAAACTGCCAGTAAGTACAAGTGTACAACAGCTCATACTTAACACGCAGATTTTGAGTTCATTAATACATGCAGTCAGTGAGTGATCTCAACTCTCAAGCAAAATGCAAGCTACCCAGTAAGCAAGTATTTATACAATAGAAGTGCTTCCTTGAAGACAGTTACAAAACTCAATACAAAAGAAAAAAAAAAGTGCTATGTATTGTATGAATTATAAAATCCAATATCTCAAAACCATATCAACGAAATTTGGTTGTATTAACTATCCATTTTATTACCAAATGAAATAGATCCTCATATTTCTAAGCATTTATGTCCAATGCTTTAGCCAGTTCTTTAAATATCACTGCAAAACGGGTGCCATTCTCAGCCATATTGAAGATGAGCAAATCAGGATCAACAAGCTAGAACTTGGTATAACGTCTTCATTCCTATAGACCGTTGGGAGGGTGACTCTTAACTAATGACAACCCAAAATTTAGTCATGTGAAACTCTAACAGCGTTAAAGGTACAAAACCTGATCATGCCTCCAGTAACCGTACCCCTCTCAGGGTCTTGCCAGGTTTTGAACAAATCTTGAATTAGTTCTTGCCGATGAGGCTGAGCACATACCAAACCCACGTACTTTGTAATTTCAGGCCAGTCCTGTGAGGCTACAACCTGTGTAGCAGTAGTAGTAATGGCTAAGATACATTCAACAGTAAGATTTTAATCCACAGGGTTTAATTCACTTACAGCAGCTATAGATGGACTTGAGTCCTCTCCTGACTCTGGATGAGTTACATCAGCTCCAAAAATTATTGTTGGAATGTCACTAACAAGGGGAATCCTCCAAGTTAGAGCATCTAAAAGCACAGTATTTCTTCCTCCCATCTAAAGAAAAATGAACAATATCAAGTTTAAAAGAAAAATAAAGAAAGATCATACTATACAGGAGAAATACCGTAAATATTAGCAGAGTCACAAATATATCAAATGACTCTGACAGACCTTGACATTGATTTTTAGAGACAAATTTGCAAGGTATTGCCTGCTGATCTTGAATACATGTTTTGCAAGGCAGCACTGAGAAATCAACCCCAGATCTGTCTCACAAATTCGTTTCAGATCACCTGAATCAGAGAGTGTATCACTTTCTTTGCAAAACCAAAGACAGGGTTACCAAATTAATTCCTTATGAAACTCAAAATCAGATTGTTTACATGTTTGAGGCATACTTTTCAATTACATAAGAATGAGGAAAGAAGTGCATATGTTCAAAATATATAATCAAGGTAAATTATAAACATAAAGGTATGTGACAAAGCGATGTGTCAAGTATTGTAGTGTTACAACTTCAGATTCCAACTTCCTGCACTGCATGCGTTTAACAAATGAGTCTTCGAATTATTATTGTAAGATAAACCAAATGGGTATATTGCAACAGAAACCAATACCATATAAAGGGCCATTATTGTTCGGAAGAATGGCGATAATTAACTCCAGTTCTTCCCCTTGAAGTTTGCTTGCTGCAGCATCGTACACGTATTTTAAAGCCTTCTTTACCTGATCTGGCGTTGCTGAATAGACTGGAATAACAGGTTCTTGGTTAAATTCCTGAAAAGAGGCCAGTGCCATCTTATTACAAACATATGCAATGGGGACCAGTAGAAGCAATAGTATAATATTGGGTACAGTGACTATTAGATGTCATTCATCTGTGCTTCAATTCTATATAGGAAAGCCTACCATGCCAGAGATTTGGCACGTCTGAACCAACTGTTGACAAAAAGCTTCAGCAGTGTTCTCTTGGACACTTCGAGAGAAGTTAATACATGACCAATATCTTACAGTGCTTCCATTTATCACTTTCTGCAGTTAAACAAAAAAAATTGCGTTAGATTACATAGAAATATTTGTGTTGAAAAAGAGAAATGGAAGTTTGCTGTGAATTCTTAATATTTTTCAGTTCTTGACATTAACTAACCTTATTCTTCATATTCCACTGACCTACTTGAGGCAAATGTTCTTTTTCTTTTCCAGCATCATTATACTTCAGCTATTAACAAAGGTATAAAAGAGTAAAATGTTAACAATACAAATCTGAATCTTGTAATGAGTAGATGACTTTGGACATACCCAAGGAGCCGGAAGAACCCGAGCTTCGACTGATGCAAGCTTGCTGGCTACTTTGATTCCGAACTCTTTTGCGTATTCATCTTGCCCATAATCATTTTGGTGAACTGTCTGCAAATACACAACAGAACTCTTAAAATAGCTAGCTTTTTATTTTGGGTAAATAAATAAACATTCTATCCAAGAATAACCCTCCAACCTATAACTACCTTTGGCAAGCATACTGAATATGTAAGTATAGAAGATACGGAAAATATGATGACAAATATCTACAAGTCTAGTATTTACCTTCGGTTAAACAATTATTGTCTGTCTAAGTTATTCAGTTTCATGTCATTTGGTTTATTGAAAAATAATGCGAAAATTTTCAAGGATCTGCTGAAATAGACCTGTAAGATATCCATTTCTTGTTCACGAGGTCTTTGGCATGAAACTTTTAGCAAAGAAGTTATCTGCTTTTCATTTAACCTTTTTGTGTATCTCTGTCCCTCAACTATCTTGCAAGCCTGTAATAATAATAGCATGAATTGGCTTGAAGAATCTTATATTGTCGCATACAAAAGATTGAAAAGAAATAACCAGAGACCTCCATGGGCAAGTACTTCCGGTTTCCAACTTGAAGACAAGGTAGATGAGTATATTGAATGGTATAGCCATACACCTCTTGAAAGTACTCAACAACTGACTTCATATTCATTTGATCATCAAGTGGAAAACTGTTTAAAGGATAAGGGAAAAAAAATAAAAAATCCTAGAACTTAGAACATTGGAAAATGCTTATACATATAAAACAACCATAGAGGCAAAGTTCAGGATAGATATTATTACATTAAATCCCTAGTTGGCTGTGTTGACAACCCTGAAATCTTATACTTCCTTCGTATGTTTCCCCTGTGAGTTACTTCAACTTTGATACCTCTAAGGGATTTCTTGACCTGTATAATATTGACACAACCATAATTTAATTACATTACAAAAATATATCCTAAACTTTTAAACTCAAATGAAGGATGATATGAGACAGTCACAAAAACAAGCTTTCTGCATTTCATCTGCTACTCTGTATTGTACTTAGTTCCCTGAATACAGCCACTTTTCTGGTTGACATTTTTAAGGGCAGACATAATTTCTCTGTCCTATGGATAAGCATTATTCTGACACTAATTCGATCTAATTGCACAGGACAAGCTACTAGAAAAATATATAGGTGGCTCTTTGGGAGTTTAGATGAAGCAACTACTCTCAATTTTAGGCAGCAAATGAAACAATTAGATCTCCTTTGAGGAGTTAGAGTGAGCAGCACAAGATCACTAACATGGATAAACAGGATGCTTTTATCATTTGATATATAGTTATTGAAATTATGCATTAGATTTACATAAATACCTCCCCAAGTTTGTCCAAAATTATGATACTTATGAAAGGTATGATCACATGGCTTCTATGACATATAATACCTTAAAACGATCTGCATCTGACAGTGGTCTTGCATACACATCTTTATCCAAAACTTTGGCAACAAATTCAATGACAGGAAGTGGTTCAATGAAAGCAGTTGTGGACATGTCTGGAAAGGCAAGAAACATAAGAAAAGAAGAATACTAACCGTGGCAGTGAAAATGAATGCCATAACAATAATAATTAAATGAATATAATGTTTCCGAGGACTCCTACCAATATTGAGTGACAGTCCCATCTGAGTAGGTCTTATACTCTGGTAGAAACCACGCCATGACTCTAAACCACCACCCAGCTGCTCTGGTGTCTTAAAAATAGGAGAATAAAGGGATTTTCCAAATGGTAAGTACCTAGATGCATTCATACAAATGGATGAAGAATCTTATACTTACCGGCAGAAACTTCAGTTAAATTAAACATGAAAATTGTAAACTCAAATTTAAGGAAATAAAATGAACCTTTGAGCCGCAATTTCCCTTAGCACAATATCTATAATCTTAATGGATTTTTGAGGGGAATCAACTTGTTTCCCAGAAAGAAGCTGGCGTAACTGTACCATGCTAGCAAGAGCTACAAACTTTATCACCACTTTAAATTCTCGTTTCCTGATATAATTAGTGATATTTTAAGCAGCAGTACATTAGCTTTAAACAAACACGCCAACTAAAAACTCTAAATTCCAGGAAAACATGACCAGTTCATAGCAAGTGAGATACTAAATTACCTTACGTAACGCGTGCCCCTCTGTTGATCAACCAATGCAACGGTAAACTCTTTTGAGGTAAAAGGAAGCATTCCAGCTGTGTAAAGGGTACTTCCTCCATCATAAACAGGAAGCCTCATCCCCAAGTCACTGTTTCGATGAAGTTTTACCAACTGGGTCATAATAGCTTTGTTCAATTTAAGAGAATTAACCTCAGGGGTTATCTTAACCTGCGCCAGAAAACAAAACCAAAGTAACTCTACATTAGCCATTAAACCTTAAAAAGAAACATCTTTAAATACAGTAGTTTTCTGATATAAAACTAACACTATAGTGACTCAAGTCTGATCCTGTTATCTCGGTAAGAAAGTGATTGGCTTTAACAATGCACTTGATTCCCAACTGGCCATATCCAGGCCTGCATTGGAACTTAAGGCTTTTGCATGAACGGTTTGAATTTAGATCAAGCGTTGAATCTGGTAACCTCTCTTCTTTGGCTCCTCTATATCTTCTTCTTCCTTTCTTTCTCCCATTACAATATTTTACATCTTCCAAGTTATCTCCAGTTCTTGGCATCGCCTCAAATAATTTCTTCTGGTTCATGGACGCCACATAGTTCTCCTCAGGGTCTCTTTTTTGCATGAGGGGCATATCTGTACAAAAACAAAGACCACCTTCACTGAGTTCTTCAAAAGGAAATGCTAGGACTTTGAAGACACTTGAAGCGTTTTAATAGACCAGCAAAACACACACACACACACACACACACACACACACACACATATATGGCCGTATTCCACCACACGAAGAGACAGAAATGACAAAATGAAAGGTCAAAGATGAGATATATATGAAAGGTGATTGCTCAATATTTTGCACTTTACGTTGAGAATCTTTGGGCATATATAACAGATGGGTTCTGGATTTTTGATTGTAGGACAGAGTACAGACACTTAGCACGGCTGCAAGCTAAACAGAGGCAGAACGAAGCATCAAAAATCGACAGTGTTTTATCACTTCTCAGTGCTAAGCTTATGCATCTCTGATCAAAGCAAGCAGACGTGAAAAAATGCAGAATTGACAACACAAAGCTTTTGAAAAAGAAATAATTTTTTTTTTTTAATAAATTAACTCTACGAGTCTAGAAAAACATTAACGGGTGAAAATAAGAAATGAAAAATGTAATTTCAGAGCAACAAATCTTGTCATTACTTCTGGCGTAAGGTAGGCTTTCGATTTCAGATAAAATTAATGGGTTCCATTAAATCCTCCACTACTTGCTTTACCACTACTACTACTTTATATTGAGATTAGAAAGTGTGTGGATCCGCCTTTGTATTGTCCCCAATCACAAGACTATGAGCTTTACAGAGACGATTATGAAATGCATTAATATGTGCACCTGAAAATAATGGATACATTGCGTCAGTATGTTTCCAGTGGACAATCCATTTGTTTTTATTCTCGGGTTTTTATGGTGTAGAATAAATTAAAAGAAATTAAAGAATTGAATTTTATTTACTCCCAACTAGTTTGCAGGGGTGGTGCTTGTAGACTACTAGCATAATTATACACAAAACTCCATCCCTTCTACTTTTCGGCGGAGATGAAGGACAGAAGGAGCTTTAACTCATCAAAAAGCTTATCTTAAAGTGACAAGACATACAACAATCAGCGCCTAGACTGTAAAAAGCATTAGTAAATAGGACAAGGCTTTTAAAGGTGATGGACGACATGGGTTGTAAAAGAGAATATCAGCAGTGTATGTAGTTCCTCTTGTTTATAAACCCAAGACACATGTTCTTGTAGCTGCACCTGCATTTCTCACTGGCATTTCCACCTTTTGGTGGAATATAGTCTATAATTAGATTACAGTACAACTTATGGGTAATACAATAGTATTCATCTTTCAACTCAACAATCGCTTCTCTTTCCTAGCAAATAGATTTACAAGCCCATCTACCATGATGGACCGTCTGAGAGAGGCCTCAGCCTAGCCCAATCAATCGAGCCGGGTTTTTTCCGGTTTAGGCACAAAGTAAGAAAATAAAATTTGGAGAACGGGCGATGAGATATGATGACAAATCATGAATAGAACATAGTTAAGGAAGAAGAGAACAAGTGATAAAAGCCAAACCAGAAGAAAGCTAACGAGAAAGTTTCCACTACATCATTTAGTGCCGCTGCCCTACCTCAGTACTCATCACGTGTGAATGTGATGTAACGTCTTTAATTAACCTGAGTGAAAAAATTTAGCTTTATGCTATCCATCGCCAATATAATATGCAACATCTATTCTTATATATATATTATTATTTTGTGGCCAATTAAACTCGAAACTAAACAAATTACAGAGGGAGAATGAGAGAGAGAGACATTAATATTTAATGGCTTAAAAAGGGAAGAACGCCTTGGCGACTAAGAGTTAGAGATATGGTAGGGTGAATCCACAAAGTACAAACAAACCTTTTGCTTTACGTTAATGTCTTTGTAGCATATCATATTATTAAAGGCGTGTCTACCTCGCCATTAATGCAATGCTTCTTCTTAAAACTGGAATCTGCCTATCTTCACCAAACCAACTGCTGCAGTCTGCACAGAATATGTTAATTTGGTAAAGAAAACAAAAACAATAGCTTAAAAACTGCGGCTAGCAGTTATAAGTCAAACCTTCACCCACTGCAACGCATACAATGCGGCTCAAGATTCAGAATACTGACAAATTAATGCATGGGAAAGAGAGTTTATGATTTGGTAGGCAAGTGAGCTAGATGACGCAAATGTGCATGGTAGGCTAGGAAATCTAGAAACAAAAAGTTCAAATATTGTACGAGAATAAAAATTAATTATAGAAGAGAAAAAAGCTTCAAAGATCTACTGCTGTGCTGTGCACTGTGCATTAAAAGTGAAACTGGCTGTGAGAGGATGAATATTTATACACAAGATGCCAAAACACAGTTAGATCTTCATCTTCCCAAATTTTTATTAAGTTGAAAAAGAAATTAAAAAACGATTTTAGAAAACAAAGAAACCATTGAAAACTTAAAACAATTTCAAGTTAAAGAACCTGGAAAATTAATATGATTCAGACTAGTTACCAGGCCAATGTGTTTTCCTCCTTGATGTAAACACAGAGAGAACTACAAGCTTGTCAAAGCGATCAGGAATTATTATATCATTTATCAATGTAACGAAGATGAATATACCAGGAAACTACCTATTACTGGTGAGAGAGTGAATTTATGAAAATGATGAAACTGTGGTATCGGCATAATAATTGTTTTACTGTCTCTCTATCCTGAGACACCATCTTTAAGAAAAAAGGAACTTCAAACAAGAAAAAGTAAGGGATATACATAAGCTTTGAGATGGGCTTTCAAGCATGCGCCTGCATTAATCTGATGGTAAAACACATTAAGAAAATTTTCTAGTAATAATTATTGAAAAAAAAAAGAATTGATTTGATAAAGAGTAGAGTGATTAATTAGTTGAAGAAATCAGTAAAGGTGCAAGATTCCATACTTTGAGAGAATGATTAAAATGGTGGTGGTGGTTGTGTGACTTAACTGACCACTGGAACTGGTCCTTTTTCCTTGGAGCCCCGACAGGAGGGTCAAGTTCTTGACTGGTATGTCACCGGAATGTGAGTTTCCAGCAAGCGGGAAAGAGCAAGAAAGAGAGAGAGAGAGTTGCAATGCAAAAACGGAGCACTGAACTAGCTCTAAAATGAGGTGGTGCTGGCACTACCTCCGAGGCTATATATACACACTTCAAAACTTATATAAAAATTAAAATTACAAAAGTTTTATTTCGGCATAACATTATCTATTTAATCACTAATCATTCAACTTAGGTCCTGAATATATATATATATAAAAGTAACACATTTTGTTGTTATAACCATAAAGAAAATTAATGTGAATGTTTATTGTCAAGAATGAGTGGCTAAGACCGTAAGAGGGGTAATTTGAAGAAAGTTGGAGTATATCTGAGAATTCTATTTGAGAAGACAAGAGAGACAATTGAAATATCAAAATATGTCCAAAAGATAGATTCAGATAAATTCAATTGTAAATATATCATATATTTATACAAAAGTTTAACTATATAATAAAAAATTAAAATAATATAATTAAACTTAATCAGAAAATTAATTGAATGAGTAATTATAAATGATTACCAATCACAATAATATAATTATGTTTAAGAAATTGTTTGATTGAGTAATTTTGGAAGATTTTCAATCACAATAATATAATTATATTTAATCAAAAAATTGATTGATGGAATGATTTACAGCATTTATATTTCATCTTTTATGATATTAAAGCCATGCCCTCAAATATAATAGAGAAGAATAGAAGATATTGAAGTTAAGTATCTTGTGGGATGGATATGACATCGACCAACTCTCCATCAAAGGAAAAGATATTTGATCACGTAAAGAACTTGGGAATCAGCGCAAACTAATCACCCTTTCCACAGGGCAAGAAATTCATTAATCATTCAATTTTCACCCTCAATCTTCAAGTTATAATCATGGCATCAAAATCAAATCTTTTTAAAAGATGGATTTAACCACTTTTTACCTGTCATGTTGCTTCTTTCTTATCGAGAAAAAAATATGCTTTCTGTGCGATTCCATGGTCAATTTCAACGCAGAACTTAGATCTCATAGAATCTATCCACCCGGCACCATCTAATATATGTTATCATCGGCATCTTTATCTTATTATGATGTGAAAGGACGCTGGAGGACGGATGGCGAAGAAACTATATATATTGATATCCCTAAAATTAAAAATCATAAATAATTTGGAGCACATACATCAATAACGGTTCAGCTAAACTTGAAAACAGTCTTTACTTTATGCAGATAGAGGTCTGATGAAGAAAAGTACCCATACCATTTACATATATAAAAATATACCATTTTCTTTCCATGCTTATATATATATATAATTATATATAGGGTTTGGGTCCATACATATTTGTTCAACCAAGCAGAATTAATAGAACACACAATATCAATGGAGATGATCATTTACATTGAATATCGCCAGCTAATGAAGTCACATTCTGTTATACGAGGAAGATGCCAAAATGACAATCAAGAAAAGTCCCTCATAAACTTATGTTTTAAACAAATATTTAATATCGCTACGTGTATATAGCAGCATTGTGGCTAAGAATAGAAAAGGTCAAGTCATAAGCACAACATTATAACAAATACAAACTCACAAAGGAACGTAAATGAATCATCAAGTTCTTACCTGTCAAAGCTCAAATACTTCACCACTAATTTCTGTTCCTCAATTTCATCACTGCTATCAAGCTTGAGAAGCAAACTTTGTTATGTGAACATCACAGGTTTTACGATAAAATGAGTTGATTGGCTTTATTGGTGGAATCAGATTAGCTCCTCATAAGCAGATTATACAAGGACTACTAGTACTGGAGAAAGTAACACTACGGAAGAAAATCTAGAGTATGTAACTTGGATGAAGAAGGATCAAGCCTTGTTGCTTTCAATACATTAAGCCAAGGAGTACTATCTCATGTAGTAAACACTCTACTTCTTTCGAATTATGGAAGTCAATTGAGAGTACAGTTAGAACTTAGAACTGAGTCTATAGCTAGAATTCTTCAGCTAACTA